AAAGTTATCAGTTATCACTTGAGGGTGATCGCCCCCTGAGAAAAATTCCTGCGGACACCGATGACGACACGTAACATTAATTTTGATGCTATAGTTGTAGTCACCGTTCTTGGAGGGTCTAAGTGAGACTACCAGTATCCCTTTATATAACGGGTGATTTTATAAGAGATATAGGATTTGATTTTCAAAAAAAAACAAAAAATTTGAAAAAACGATTAAATCTTTATTTGAGTCGATATAACGTTCGATATAATTTAATGTTTAAAGGTTATTTCATGTAAATGTTGGCCGCGGCTCCGCTTTAGAGCAAGGTCCAATTTTGGCACACTCTCTCCAACATATCGGCCGATATCTCACGAATAAATGCTTCAATATTGGCTTCCAGTGCGTCAATCGTTGCTGGTTTATCCCTGTAGACATTAGCCTTAACATGGTCCCACAAGATATAGTCCAACGGCGTTAAATCACACGATCTAGGCGGCCAATTGACGGCCCCCAAACGTGAGATAAACTGTTCACCGAACTCGCCTCTCAATAGGGCCATTGTTTCGTGTGCGGTGTGGCATGTGGCACCGTCTTGTTGAAACCACATGTCAGCCAAGTCCAGCTCTTCCATTTTGGGCAAAAAAAAGTTTGTTATCATCGCACGGTAGCGCTCGCCATTCACAGTTACGTTCCGGCCATTGTCGTCTTTGAAGAAGTACGGCCCGATGATGCCACCGGCCCATAATCCACACCAAACAGTGATTTTTTCGGGTTGCATTGGTAGCTCTTGCAATGCTTCTGGCTGGTCTTCACTCCAGATGCGGCAATTTTGCTTGTTAACGTACCCATTCAACCAGAAATGACCTTCGTCGCTGAACACAATTTTTCGATAAAAATGTGGATCTTCCTCCAACTTTGCCAGCGCCCATTCACCAAATTGGAAACGTTGTGGGAGGTCGTGTGGCTTCAATTCTTGCACCAGCTGTATCTTATAAGGTTTTACACCCAAATCCTGTCGCAAAATTTTCCACTTAGTGGAGTAACAGAGGCCCAATTGCTGCGCATGGCGGCGAATCGACATTTCACGGTCATCACTAACACTGGCGGATACAGCCGCAATATTTTCTTCAGTCCTCACTCTACGTCTGCGTGTTGGTGGTTTAATGTCCAATAATGTAAACTGGGTTCGAAATTTAGTCACAAGCATCCGAATAGCTCCCTCAGTAGGCCGACCAAATTGCCCATAAATTGGAAGCAGTGCTCGATGCACTCTCTTAACCGAGCATGAATTTTGATAGTAAAATTCAATAATTTGCAAGCGTTGTTCGTTCGTAAGTCGATTCGTGGTTAAATTATAGACCAAACTGAACCAGTTTGACAATGACACAAGACACGATTCATGCGTCATCTGTCAAAAATAGTGTTGCCAAAAAGATACTAGGAAAAAAATCACCCATTATTATCTCCATCTCCTTCGTACATACACATGCAACCTACCCCTGTGTGTGAACGTTTGTTCGGTAAGCTCAAAGACTTTTAGTTGTGGGTCTCCGTCTCAAAAACTTTGTTTGTATAAGTGCCCTTCAATCATATTTATCAGAGTGACAACTTACTTGACATCGGCGTGCAATTTAAGTTGTCCTGTTATGAATCTTAAATATAAAATTGTACAATGCCCGGAAATACGATCAATAGAGAAGGCCGACAGCTCGTGCTTAATTTATTAGAGTATTTCCAGGAAGAAAATGAAAACTCCCGTCCCCTGTTACTCACTTCATGCGTACTGGAGAGAGTAGCAGATGCGCTAAAGATTAAGATCCACCCATGGTACGGAGACTCGATCTGTTTACTTATTTCATTTGGCGTTGATGACGTAACCGCCAAGAACGGTGACTACAACTACACCTCGCTATCACACTTGATATGCTATAATCATTTCGACATTGCAATGATAATTTCGTTATAGAGTTAGATAGTCGAAACTATCATGACGGATTATATACAGGGTGGCCCAACGAAATGATCTCATCCCCATTTGTGACTTTCCTGGTATATTTTGGAAAAATGCTCCGACACGTCAATTTTGATTTCTAGAGGGACGTCTTTTCATCTATAGCCGTACAGTACAGGGTGATCCAAAAAAAAGATATTGGGTTACACTTTAGATTTTTGGATGGAAACCCAATTTTTTTAATTTTTAGATTTTCTATGAGTGTTTTAGTAACTTTTGTATAATAAAGTTTATACCTATCTTCAACCGTTGTGAAGCTATTTGAGTTTATAATAAAATTCGACTAACTTAATACTGATAATAATGGAATGCACGGCAAAGAATAATAATCATGGATACCAGCAAGAATATCTTGCATCAGTCAGTGGCATCATATGTCATAAAAAATGTCTGTCATCCCAAATTGTTAAGTTACCAACCTAGTTGTGATAAATAATGAACAATGACTTATTCAATTCAAGAAAGGGTAGACATATCCATAATGGGAGCATTGCAAAAGCTACTGCCCGGTTACATCCAGACAAAACTATTAACGATAAGTATATATGGAGAAATTTGAAGAAACTGGATCTTTGTCTAATATTTGCCGTAATCGCCATCGAAAAAATTGACCAGCTAGAAATGAAGCTGCAGAAATTTTTGGGGCACGCGTAGCACTTGACAACACTCAAAGCACTCGTAAACTAGCTACTTCTTCTGGCTACACGCTCAACAGTACAAATAATTTTGAAAGACAATAAATTTCACCCGTACAAGATAAACTTGTTCATGAGCTTAATCAAGACTAGTTTGATAGAAGGTTGGAGTTGCAAACCTGTTATTTAATATTTGTTCTATGTTCTATTTACATGGTGCTGTAAATAGACATAACTTCGATATAGGAGTGACTCGAATCTACATTTGTTTCAAGAGGTACACTCGCAATATCCTGAAAAAATAAATGTGTGAGCCGGTATTTAGGAAACTTGACGGGCAAGACGTACTTGGACATATTAAAAAATATAACAGAGACACAAATTACCGAAATAATAGAAAATGACGTTAATTATAATGAACATTACATTCATTCCCAACAAGATGGTGCACCGCCGCTCTATGTGGCTCCATTACGACGGTTTTAGGACACCCATAATCAGTGGATCGGCAGACGAGACCCTATCTCCTTCCTTTATATTAGGTTCTTTCTTTTGGGGCATTTGAAAAGTAAAGTTTTTAGTACGAAGCCAGTGATTAAATTGAAGATGTTCGTCAGCAGATTACGGCTGAATGTAGACAAATAACTCAAGACATGCTTGAAAATGTGAGGAATAGATTCGAACCACATCCTTATTATTGCATGGAGGTAAATGGACACCACTTTCAGCACTTATTACCACACTGACCTACCTCTTTATAGCAAAATAATTTTTTTAATGTGCATATAAATTGTAAGTTGTTTTTTGTTTTTTTAATGCTCAGAGACTTGTATTTGATTTTAAACTAAAGTCTTGTTACTATGGAAACTATATTGATTACTATCCCTTATTATCACAATTTCTAGAATTTTATTATAAACTCAAATAGCTTCACAATGATTGAAGATAAGTATAAATTCTATCACACGAAAGTTACTAAAAGCTTCATGGAGAGTCTAAAAATTAAAAAAATGGGAGTTTCTGTTTAAAAATATAGAGTGAACGCTATATCTTATTTTTGGATCATCCTGTATTGTATGGCTATAGATGAAAAAACGTCCCCGTAGAAATCAAAATTTACTTGTCTGAGCGTTTTTCCCAAAATGTACTAGGAGAGTCACAAATAGGGGTGGGCCACCCTGTATATATTACGAGACATCGGAACTAATTTCAAGGGTCGAAATTCAATCAGAATCACAAGTCGGCGACCACAGTCAATACGGTGCAACAGAGAAAATTTTCTAAAATTTTTGTTCCCAACAATAATAATTAGTTAGTTATGAAATATACTCTTTATTGACTTGTAATAAACAATAATTATTACTTTATTGAAAAATGGATAAAGGACTTGATAGCAGTGACGACTATGTGCCCAACAAGCCAAAAAAGCCTTACATGAATGCATACATGCATTATCTACCTAGGGATGTTCCCATTAAGTAAAGGGAGGAATGTGGTAATGGTGATTTCTCAGTTTAGAGATGGAAAAATATTTGGCTAATTTCTTCGGTGAGTAAACCAGAGGATTTTTCTCAACATAGGAGCGGAAAGAATATGGTGCATCACCACGAAAATCCATACCACTCAATGCCGGCGGTCTGTCTCGGTGGCTTGCCTTTTAAGAGTATAATGTCAGAAACTTTTGGACTGATTTATACGAGGTAAGGACGTTTCATATTTAAAAATTGGTCCGTCATGGTAGAATGATGATTGAATTACACGATAGTTTCAATCACAAACTTGAATTTTTTATATCTTTCTGATAATTTTGGTACGTGCGCGAAACAAATCTTTGTACATTTTGAAAAGTTTTCAGATTTTATTTTCCACAGCCTCCCAACTCCCATCACTTAAGAGCGAATTATAGAAATTTAAGGGGATCCTGCATTCTGTTTAGCTTGGAACAATTTTAAAATGACGATAATATTTTTAGAACGTCTTTTGTTTCATGTGAGGTGAGTGTTAATTTGTATTTCGACTACTATTAATTAAGATAATTTCTTAATTAAACATCTGCTTAGTTGTGGTGGACTTGGAGTTAGTAAAGTTAACAGTTTCAGATCGTTTCCAAACTTTGCTTATGCACGCATCTAATAATTTTCTGGCACAATATTTTTTAAGTGGATTAAAATTTTCTGAATGTACATGATTTCTCTTTCAGTTTTTTTAACTTTTAGAACTTCAGGGAGTAATAAACACAATTTCAGTGGGTTCAGAACTTTAAAATTTGGCAAGGACATTGATATTTATGTAAAAGGTTTTGAATTTGTAAGTACGGGAAATAATCCTGTTAAACGCGTGGGAAGCATCCGGTCAATCTACTTGCTTACCTTTGAGGTCTCCGTCTCCATCTCGATCATTATCTCTAAACGACCTAGGATAGATCTGATAGAACACCGCATTCTTCCACCAATCATCTTCGTCCGGCTTGGGGGTATCATCCCCCTCTACCCCGACATGGTTGTACTTGAGGGTGTCATCCAAGTTCACTTTCACGACATTCCCCCACGCGCTGTCCCAGCACAAGGCTAAGCTCACGATCAACCAGGTTGCGCCTTTCATAGCTTCCGCGGGCCTCTAAAGGTCGTTTCACATGTGATTGACGCAAACCTATGCTGGCGACGGTTTAAATACGCGACACGGTTCGCGACTCTTGGATGCGACTGGATTGATAGCGCGTATCGCATTTTTATAAGCTTTGAGGATCGATCGAGTGCTTGGCAGGGTCGGAATTCAATAAGGTGGGATTTCAGCCATGTTAGTTGAATATTTACTGATTAATTTCTCTTCTCTTTTCAATAATTTTATTATAATATTAATGCAGTCGAGTATGTAAAATTCTAAATGTCAGGGCACCCTGACTGCTATAGGGAGCTTAGGGCCATGTCGTCAGTCGTTCCTACAATTGTAGGAGGCCTTTATGGTCTCTTTGATTCTCATAGTATTTTCTCTCCTTCAGAAAGCTGCGGTATTTCTAGATTTCTACTGTTCCGTGGCAGCGTTCACGTACTCCTATTGTGAGGCTAGTAGAAATTTTAGGCTTACTTGAGTCTACAAGTTGACATTTTATAATATGCTTTTCTTCATTCAAAAAATGAAACTTTTTTTCATCAAACGTATGCCATATTTTACAAAATCGAGATCCATGAAAGTTGATTGTAATAGCATCGATAGAGATGTCATGTCACATTTTTTTGAACATTATTTTTTTGCATTAAGCTAACTTTAAGGAGTAGTATCATTGTTGTTGCTAAAACAAGATAATAACAACCTAACCAAACTAAATATTTAAAATGTGAATAAAGTAAGAATTTCCTCCATACAATGATTTTGTTACATGACACCTTTATCCATTTTTGTTTATTAGTTGGGATAAGCTATCTATAAAAAAATATATTCCTTGCCTTTCGATATATCAGATAAGCATATGGTCTAGTAAGTTTATTAAAAAAGCCTTGAAAGTGATGCGCTGTCTCCTCTTCCTCCAACCACATGGAGCAGCTAGTATCTCTCTTCACTCTTAGGAGCAACAAGTGATTGTCCAGTCCAGAGTGACCGGTGAGAGCCCTCCCCCCACCAAAAGGTTACTGGCGATCCAAACAAAGGTCCTTTCCCGGACCTGGCTCATCACTAAAGACAACCGAGTATCACCTCATTCACGTACCCTAATCGTGCATCCTTAGGGACCTTATGCTTTATGGAGATTTCCAATGCCGGCAATCCCAAGGTAATGTCAACGGTCGGTGAAGGTATTGACCTGATCACACATTTTGTTCCCAGCGTAACCAAGGTCTTTTCAATGCTAGGATCTCACAACACGCATCCATGGATTGAACTGAGGATTAATGGTAGACCATAGAGGTCTGATGGACTGATATATTCCTTCTCTTGGTAGAGAGGATGAGTTAAGACTTGAATGGATTAACTGAGTCCTGTTTCTTCAAACCAGTTTTCTAGAATGTGGCTGGCTATCTGCATCCTCTCGCAAACTACGCTTAAGAATGTACACGGAACGAGAACGCGTTTGCCTGCGTCTATAAGACAGATTTTGTCACTGCCTCAAGGAGGATTTTCATATCAGACACCATAGATGAGAGGAAAGACAGCTACCCTGTGAACAGCCGCCCATTCACCTTGCGGCTGCTTGATCTCACGCAACAGACGATGCCCCCCTTGCCTACGATTGTCGTACGAATATTATTAAAGTCCTCTGTGATTCAACGATCATCACTTAATCCATTTCTTTGACCTGAAGGCCTTTCTCCACTTATTCTACTACAGCCTGCCGAGCTGATTTAGTCGACCGACCCTATCTATAGGCATGCAGGTTAGGTTAGATGACTACTCTCGCTGCTCTCCAAGGCTTGGGCTCATATCACAGCACTATAGAGACCCTCATCACTCTTAGCAAGTAGGGCAGCTGTAAAAAAGTATTATCACGTCCAGCGGACTTGGATGGATTGAACTCGTTCGCAGCCCAGGAAACTAACTCGTCAGTGCTCACTGCAGCGGTCTCTCTTGGAGGAACTGTGTCCTCTTTACGTAGCTGAGCATCTTTGACAATCTAGCGAAATTAGAAAAAGACGCCAGGTTCCCACAGTTGCTTTGCCAGCAAGCTCTTTTATTTCTGTGGAGACCTCTTTTAGACTTCCGGCTTTCCAAGAACTATCGTCACGTTTTCCACCCCCCCTTAGCGCCATTCCTGCAGCCTTCCTCAAATCCATTGAAGACTTGGACCATCAAGGGCTCTCCCAGGGACACCTATTTTCAGGACATGTCATGCTCAAGCTCGTTTTCTGTTTTGAACTACATTGCCAGGTCATTAAGGGCATCAGTCAAAGCAGCATAATAGACTGATTCATTTTAGTTTAAAGTTACCTTCTGATCATCCTGTAACAGGTTGGTCGTTATTGCTATTAATTAGTGAAACGTAATTAGCTAACTAAATACATTATTTAATTAGCTAAGTCATTCACGATGAAATTCGCTAATCACGATGTCAGTATTATCACCAGGATAGATTGGAATTCGAGCAGACATTCCAACGATAACTAACTTAAAGTTCATGCTATTAAGAATGACGAATATCAATTTATGAGGTGTTTTGAGAGAAAGATGTAAGGTAGCTTACCTATTTACTATCTTACCCTGAGAAGGCTTCTTCAGATCGACGCGAACTAAGGTCAATTACTTACTTAGTTGGTTTTACACTTAGTTATACAGGGTGATGGGAAAATAGATGCGGAGCCGGTGGGGGGAGATAGTACGAGCCAATCTGAGTCGATTTTACTATAGGAACTACTGTCCGAAAAATAGCCGTTTTCGAATCATACTAATTTTTAAGATTCTATAAAATTAACGTCCTTTATACGTTAACCAAGTCATAGAACTTGAAAATTGGGTGTTTCATTTGATTTTTTTGGTTTTACAATAAAAATATTCTAAAATACGAAAATTGATACTCAAATGTATATTATTGACGTTATCTCATGCAGTAAGCTTCAAAATAATTCGATTTTTGTTAAAAAAATCTTCGTTCATCTCAAAAGCTTCAGTTTACTAGAAAAAGTCGCATACAAATTTTTCGTACGAAATAATTAGAAAACATCTACGTTTCATTACCTTTCAAATGAGGTATAAAAATCACAAATCGATTAAGAATTGGTAAAAATATGACTATTATAAGAGGAGGAATACCGTGCCCTCTATTCCTAATGTATACACGTGCTCGTCTTATGACAGCTTATTTTACTACTGCCGAATTCTTGTGCTGCATGTATTATCCTGTTTCTGAGGTCTTCTATTGTGGGTACAGGATTTTGATCAGAGTATACTAAAGTTTTCATGCGACCCCACACAGAAAAGTCCATAGGTGTGAGATCGGGACTGCGTGCTGGCCATGGGATTGGTCCGCCTCTACCGATCCATCGATTCGGAAACTGCTCATTTAACCAATTTCTAACACTTAGTCTGAAATGTGCTGGGCACCCGTCATGCTGAAATTCATTCTGTGTCTTGTGAGTAGCGGCACGTCTTCAAGTAATTCAAATAGAACATTTCTTAAGAAATTTTTTTAGGCTTCTCCATTTAAGTTGTCGAGTAGGAAATGTGGTCCTATCAAACAGTTATTTATAATTCCCATCCAGACATTCAGACAAAATCGCCTTTGAGGTCCTTTTGGTCTCTTCATATGAGGATTTCCCACTGCACGTTCACGCCAATAGTGAGCGTTATGGTAGTTTGTTATGCCGTCTTTATCAAATTTTGATTCGTCGGTCCATAGAATTTTTCTTAAATAATTGCTATCTATAGCTTCAGCGTAAAATATTTAATGATCAGAGTAATCTTCAAAGGCCTATGAATCACTTTTAACACTGTTCTAGATACTTCATTCTATTCCACTCAAACTGATTGTCTAGAGTTGAAGATTGACCGACTATTAACTCTCAAGATAAAAAGATTAGAAAAGAGAAGACTGGGTTGTTTAGTTGAATTACTCTATCAGCCAAATGAGTAACTATCAAGGATGGAATTGAGCTGATTTCGTTATATTGAATTAAACATTCAAACTTCAATCCGGCGAATATGGAAGAAGAACTAGAGATATAAATTGGATAAGTTGTATAAGATCAAGGGATTGAGACAGTTTCATCATCAAAGTGCTACTGAGATGTTGAAGGGTGCTAAACTGATCTATAGTGAAGTCATAATTATGATACCAAGAATCTAAATAGTCACTGTATGAATGATTAGTGGAATCATGCCCTGAAGGAAATTGAGAATTTAAGCGCTAGAGAACTGAAAACTTATGAGGCATTTTCCCTCGAAACCCAAGCACAGAACTGAATACCTGCTCTTCCTCAACGATCTTCTTGGACCGAGAGGTTGGACAGATGGTCATTCATTCAGTCGTGTCGCATTTAAAATGAATACATTTAGAATATGTACAAGCAGATCAACAAATGATTTCTCCATATTATTTGATGAGCTATTCGACAGGTGGGAGAGTTGGACAGTCGTTCAGGTTAAAGTCAAACCAAGATGGTACAAGAGGAAACCTCTATCAAAAAACCTCTTTCGGCTGTAATTCTTGATGTTTTGAATCTCCATTACAGTTGAATAATTCATTTTATTACATATCTATTCGAACAAATGTTTAACTTCTACGAGCCGTTCTCAGGATAAAGATTATGTTGGAGGGTTATAAACCTTACGGATTGCGGTGGTTCTGTCCACTTCTAGATGTTTTAACATCTTTTTCATTGAGTAAACTGTGCTCGTTTTCTTACAAAATGCACATATGTGACTTTGTGTTACAATCTTGTGATTAGATAGGGCTATGCCGTCTGTAATCCTCCACGATGTCGTCCATGCTAGGAGATATTACTGTGATGATGATGATGACTTAGGTATGTTATATCCATATGCAATTTATAGAAATTGCTTCGGACCTTTATTAGGAAGATTGCGGGATGCTAGTTACTCCAGTAGGATATCATCTCAACTGTTGATGTCAGAGCTGCCCCATAATATGTAGTGGGCATTACCGTCCGTTCCTAATAAAATCAGCAAATCAGCTGCTTGCAAAATCTATAAAATATTCACTGAGTCATCACCCTCAGAAAGGATCATAGAATCATTGGGTAAATATACACTTA